GTCACCAATTCTTGTGCCTAACCGAAGTAGACACTTCCGGGTCACAACGTGGGACAAGGGGGTAATGAGCACTTGTCGCTGGCACGGGGACGCTTTGCTGACAGGACGATCGCGTCGCGGCAATGGTAACGAAGGTTACTGCGATGCCGGAGCACAGGCGATGCGGAACTGCGCTGAGGTAGAGCTGACGTGGTTATCTGCTAGTTGAGACAGTGTATTACGAGCCCTATTCCCAGATGTAGGAAGTAGAACCGCGGAGTTATGAGGTGTGTTGATAACTGTTTTATTCTTTATTTGGAACATGTTTATATACTACTTGGAACACGGAAGTTAAGTGCAGTGATTAGTGAAGTAAGCTATATTCTAAAGTAGATCAGGGAATTATGATTATGGTAGCAGTTTGCGTAGTTGGCTTTGCGTAGTTGGCTGACACTGCAAAATGTGCTGACTGCATTGGCGGGTCAGTGTGCCGTTGAGTTGGTGAGACGGTGAGTTAGTGAGACATATAACATGCTGATCAGCAATTCTCATATGCAGTGGGTGCTACTGAGCGCCTGGTACTGTTCCCAACTTGGCTGCTGCTTGATTTGTTGGGTGTGGTCATGTTGAGCACCTTTGGGTACGAACACCATCGTTGGTGAGTGGGAATCTCGAAACTATGGAATGAGCTTCGCCACTTGTTTTTGAATTTAAGTGGAATTATTTTTCAACGCGCGTTAGACTCGGATTGTCTATTTATATTGCCGTGAAAAGGTCCCGGAAAGTCGGCCAGCGAAGATAGTCGCCAGAGAAAACCTCTGTGTCGATAGGAGGGAGCGGACAGCCATGACGTGAAATTTTGGGACGGAGTTACTGGAGCTTGAGGTATTTGGGAGGAGCCTTTTTGGATTTGTTCCATGAGTTGCGCGGCAAACATTTTATAAGTGGAGTACGTTTGGTAATACTTAGATTTTAGTATGGATTTCGTGTCTGCGTTGCTCTCGCATGCAGCCACAATGCAGTCGGAGCATATGTCGTATGCTGCCTTTACTGTTTGCCACAAGAAATTGAAGTGATCGCGACGGATTTTACAGGCGGATAACGATGGGGTAGAAACACCTGGAGCGTTCACAGTGGCCGTAAAGTGGATCAGACAGTCAGCTATGGCCATAAATCGGGTTAAAGCGGATTTTACTGATGTTGCCATGACGTAAAATAATTTAGAATTTTATTTCAGGAGTAAGGACACGGGCTGGAACAAGATTGTAAATCAAGATTGTAAATATATACGGTCACACTATCGGATAGGCAGAGCCAATGAATATTTATAATGCGAATAGCGGAATAACGTTGGTGGAATTGTAAAGACTTCCCTTATGTTTGTTTGTCGGTGCGCTTGTTTGTCACCTGCACAACTAAATTGCAAAGGATTTGCTGAAGTAAGTTTGGGGATATTGTAACTTTCTTTTTAATTTTAGAAATAAATTAGCCGTACTTGTAACTTTCTTTTAAATTTTAGAAATAATTTAGTCGTACTTGTAGCTCGAGAAAAGTAGTTGGAGTTGACTGTATTAGAAAGAGTAGTTAGAGCGGGCTGCATTAGAATATTTATTTAAATATACACACGCAGCTGGAACTCAGTAAAAAACGAGGAAGAACGCTATAGTCGAGTACCTCGACTATCAGATACCCGTTACTCAGCTAAAAGGACCAAAGGGAAATCGAGATATGCAAGCAGCAAAGCGAGCGCCACCTACCGGCGGTAGACAGATTGAAGCGTTATGGGCGTTAGAGTGGGCGTGGCAAATGTTTTTTAGATCAATCGATAGATATTGACGAGACCAATACATTTCAGTTAAAATTGTTTATCTAGCATGAAAATTGTGGCCGTCACAGGTTTGGGCGGTTTGTGGGCGTTAAAGTGGGCGTGGGAAACTTTTTTGGGTCAATCGATAGGTATTGATGACAACAATACATTTCAGTTAAAATTTTTGTTCTAGCACCAAAACTGTGGGCGTTAGAGTGGGCGTGGCACTCTACTGAAACAAACTTGCGCTGCGTAAGAAGCTCAGGAATCTGCACGCCAAATTTCAATAGCCTAGCTCTTATAGTTTCCGAGATCTCAGCGTTCATCCGGACGGACAGACAGAAGGACAGACGGACCTGGCTAGATCGACTCGGCTAGTGTACGTGATCAAGAATATATATACTTTATGGGGTCGGAAACGCTTCCTTCTGCCTGTTACATACTTTCCGACGAATCTAGTATACCCTTTTTCTCTACGAGTGCCGATTATAATAAAGAGTGCAAAACTTAAGGAAAAATGTTGTGATCGGGAATTGATTCCTGTGGCTGAGATATATTTACACACAATTGGAATTGAAAATATACTTTAGAAATATTTTAGTTGAATAATGGCACTAAAATATCTACTAGAATTGTTTCAAGTGTACAATTGTGGGCAAGGGAATCTGGAATATTGTCGGCCACAAATAACGGAATTGAAATACTTACATTCAATGCCGTTGCGTCGGATTAATTACTTTAGGACTTAGACAATATACGAGTATAATACAGAAAGTTAGTCGAAATAGGGTTTGAAAAACTGGATGTAAGACCGGCAAATTATAGTAAGTGGAATTTAATAAAAAAAAAAACGAAACTGTCCCGTGTGCATTCGCTTTATTGAACGCTCTATAAAATAAACGATATTCCACGGAGAATAACATTTATAAAATTGAAGAATGTCTTTAACCACCTAATATACCACCAGCTCTATCCGCGAACAACACAACATAGTGCTAATAAACAAAGTTGACTCTATAAATCAGAAAATAAATTCTTGCTGAACAACAAGTGCGGTTGTGCGTGCACCTTCAGTGAGAGACAATCGGTGCGGCGGCATCTTCGGAGTGCAAGAGAGAAAAAGGTTGCCCCATCAGCTACGCTATCGCCGATAAGGCATCTATTCACTATTGTCGATAAGGCAGTTTATCGGTAAAGCAGTGCGTGGTTGTAAGCTAAGCTACAACTTAAACTTAAAGATTAAATCCGAAAGATACAATACAAACACAATCGACAAATACACCTAACTTTAATCAAATCAAACAATAAATACACTCAAAAAAGTCATGGGTTCTTCTGCTCCACCCACTAAACGTACCCGCAACAATGCTGGAACTGCCAGCGAACGCATCTCGGATGTAAATTCGCCTCAGCGTCTGGAGCTCCTAAAGACTCGCTTCGAGGAACAAACCTAGAAAATTGAGTCGGCCGTTCGGGAAGCTGAACAGCGAATGCTCAGAAGCCTTATGGATCGCCTGGACAAAATCGCCGGGGAAGTAAAGCAAATGGATGCTCGTGTCGTGACGTTGGAGCGCGAGGTTGCCGATCTTCGCTCCATGAGGGACCAAATGGGTGAGCGGGTTGTGACGCCGAACCGGGAGGTAGAAAATCTACAAGCAGCAGGTGAAAGGTTGGGTGCACTGGAGGCCAGGCTGGCAACGCAATGCAAGGAGACTAGCTCGTGTGATCTGAGGCTTCATGGAGTTCCCCATGTCGAAGGTGAAGATCTCAGAGCGCTCTATCACAAGCTATGCTTTAATCTCCAGCTGACTCCACCAAAAGTCTGCGATATCTTCCGAGCAAGGAAATCACAACAAACACATGTGGATCCAGTAATATTTATTAAAATGGTAAACCCACGCGAAAAGATCAAGCTGCTTAGTCAAGTCGGAATGTACAGGCGCGAGCACAAGAAACAACTTAGCTTGCAGTTTCTGGGTTTCAATTCGGAAGCGTTTATTTATATTAATGAGCAATTGTTTAAGGAGCATTATCTCATCTTTAAAGAGCCTATGCGTATGAAAAAACATAAAATCCTTACGGCTGTCTTTACACGACGCGGCCTTGTGCACGTACGCTGCACTCGAAGAGATGGTGTCTGATGCATTAACAGTATGGAGGAACTTTCGTCCATTAATCATTCACCTAATCCACTTTCTACATCTCTCACTAACGCTTCGGCTGGACCTGAAGCTGATTGCTTTCGCTTTTAAGCGTATAAATCGTATCCTCTTAATTAAGATAGGTTTAAAACTAGTTTACTTTAAAAAATTTATGAGATACGCATTGAATATTGAGATTTCGCCCCTAATAATCATTGATAACAACAATGCAGGATGAGGAAGTTTGTTCCATAGCTAGTGCCATGATAAAAACTATTAGTAGTAAAGTAATGAGTAAAAATGGTCTCAAAATCGTTCACTTAAATGCACAAAGTTTGCTAAAGAAGATTGATGAGTTTAGATTCCGTTTCACTCAGTCTAATGTCGATGTGATATGTGTGTCTGAGACGTGGTTTGTAAATGATCTATGTGATTCGTCTATTATTTGTGAAGGCTTTACTGTTTATCGCTCCGACCGTACTGGTCATGCAGGAGGTGTTGCTATATACGTGAATGTGAAACTGAAGTGTAAAGTGGTACTTAAACAGCCAAGTGACAGTACTATTGAATACATTCTATTAGAACTTCCCAATAAATCCCATGGAAGAACCCTTCTAGGTTGCATATATAGACCGAATCGGACAATTGACTACAGGTCATTACTTAATGTTGTTTCAGACATTTCGTTGGAGTACACCGACATCATGTTGGCAGGTGATTTTAACAGCAACCTATTGTCAGAAAGCCATCTCGTAGATAACTTTAAATCCCTAGGTTTGTTTTCCGTAAACGAAACGATTCCCACGCACTATAGCAGCCACTGTGATACATTACTTGACTTATTTCTAATCAATGACCCTAGAAAAATCTTACATTATGACCAGGTTTCAGTACCAGCCTTCTCTGGACATGACTTAATATTTTTAACATACGACTTGAGCTTTGACAGCAAAATCAATTCTTTTACGTATAGAGATTACAAAAATATAAACTATAATTAATTAAAAACTGAATTTTTGTGTTGTGACTGGTCATGTATTTACCATCTTCGTCACGTAAATTGTCAATTACAGGTTTTAACCAACGATGTCCAGTATTTGATCAACAAGTTTGTGCCCCTAAGGACCAAGGTGAAAGCCAATACAAAATCCGTGGTTCAGTAGTGAAATTAAAAACCTAACCAGTCAGCGAAATGATAAAATCAGCAAAGAAAGAGCATTATAACATATAATTTAATCACTGTGTTAACTCAAAAAACAGATGGAACAAACTAAAACGGTTAGGTATTGGAAAATGAAAGCAACAGACAGAGTCTGAGGTGGATGTCAAATCAATAATCAAAAAGTTTTTGGAAATAGATGTACCTAAAGCATCATGCAATCCGTACCTGAATACTCAACCCCTCTGTGATACTAGTTTTAGCTTTATATGTATAAACCAAAGTGATGTCCTAGCTAGTATTCTGCATGTCAAGTCCGATGCTGTAGGTCTCGATAATATGAATCCCAAATTTGTTAAGATTTTGCTCCCCTTGATGTTGTCCCATATTACATATATTTTTAACACGGCTATTAGTCTTCATTTCCGACAATATGGAAAAACGCCAAAATTTTCCCAATTCCTAAGCTAAACAATGACTATAGACCTATTTCAATATTACCTTTTCTAAAAAAGTCTAAAGTCTTGGAAAACCTTGTGCTCAAAGATTCAACTATACTTAGCTAATAATTCTCTTCTTGATAAAAAACAATCTGGATTCCGTAAGAGAAGGAGTTGTATTACTGCAATCACTAATATTGTAGACAAAAACCGGACAGTAACTGCGTAACGTTTTTGACGCTCCTTGACCACAGTAAGGCTTTTGATTCTGTGCATTTTTTTCTGCCGTGCTTGCTAATATCAAGGTTTCTTTATGGACATTTCGAATTTAAATTTTATGGAAAATTAGACAGACAATTTCGTCGACTGGCAAATAAAACTAAACTCAAAGCAAACGAAGAGCTTGGGATCCACGCGATCGAGCTTTCTTTAGCTCATGCTTTCCCGGTTCGCTCAGACGTTGTCGTAAAATTCTTTCTATTCCTTGCTCATTCGGCCGTCCCTTCTGATCTTTTCTTCTTACGTCTCACCCTCCAATTTATTCCATTTCCTTCCTACTCCCTTTCTTTTATGCAATAAATAGATGAAGATTTGGACTCACCACTGTTTCAAATCCATCGACGAAAGCGCTTTCTTCGGGATGATAAGAACTGTGAAGGGGGAAAGAAAATGCAAAAAAAAAGAAGAGGGGAAAAAGGAGACACTCAAACCGACACAGCAAAAAAATGTAAAAAAATTACTTTCGGGGCTGGCTGAAGTTTCGATCGCGGATTCACTGCATGCTCGCCTTTTTCTTCTTTCTTCCTTAGCTAGCTGCCCAATACACTATTACACCCACATATTCACAAGCAGCGACACAAAAAAAACTATGCTTACATTTAATTTGCTTAACTTATGTTCTAGCCATCAACTAACTCGCGGGCAGTAACTACAGGCTTTCAAAAACGTCTATTTCCGCGTAAATTGATTTTTTTCTAAATTCTTCTTTTCGCGACGGAGCGCAACGAAGGCGACTGGCATGATTCGATCCGTATAGGAGACTGAAAGCTCCCGCTTATGCGTGGCCCCGCCTCTCTTTACCCACGCAAGCGATAGCGGCTGCTTTTACGGCTCAATTTAAATTTTGCTGTCGTAGGTCGGGAATTTTGTAACTTCTAACGCTGCGGGTATCTAAATTGGAACTCTCCTCTCCTTTTTCTTTCTCAAATACACGGCCTGTACCGCCTCGGGTTATGGGGTCACACGCAGCTGGTCAAATTTTTGGTCAGGTTAGGTCGAAATTGTATATATAAAATTAACGCTTGATTTCCCACGCTGCTGCCGCCGACTTTTCAGCTTGGCAGCCGACTTTCCCGCTTGCGTTTGGCACCAAGATCCACATCCGTTTTCTTTTTCTTTCCTTCTCCAGCGCCTTCTCCGGGACTTTCCGAATCGCCTACAGCCGACCGCCTACAATAATTTTACGGCTGAACTCAATTTCCTAAACACTCCCTTTTCTATCAAAAACTCACCAGTCTAGGCGCGATCCAACCGAAAATTAAGCAAGTGGAAAATTTCCCTTTTAGGTCACTCGCGATCTAACTTGAGTTAACTGCGTCTATACGGTGCCGCTGCCGAAAAGGAAAAGACAGCATCCGCCGCTGCCGACCCGCCGGTAACCTCGATCGTGGGGCATGGTGAATTTTTAGGGCCGCTTGACATTTGCCGCTGTTATTCTCCTAGACCCACCAGCTACCTATAACCCTTTTCTGGGCCTGTCACAGGTGGCGCCACCGCTGGGTTTAATCGGACCCACAGATGGAGCTACTAAACCATCTAGCATTTTAGACAAGCGTTTCAAAAATACCCCCCCCCCCCCCCCCCCCTCAAGATCAGACTTGGGGGTCGACGCTCCAAGGATGATACCAAGAACGCTTGTCATCCTGACTCTACTGCTTTATGTCCTTAGCATGAAAGCGCCCCACATACCGTCCCTGTAGATCCTCGAGGTCATAACAAGCTTGACCAACCTTTTTCCTCACCCGTGACTTTACGAAGGCTGGTTCCAACTTTGCGTTATAGCCAGCTGCGAAATTACTTTGCTTGAAATTTCTACAATAAACTTCTTTACCTTCGTTGAAGAACACCTCCCTTGACATTAAATTGTATTTTCGCTCATTTTTCTCGAACTGATTTTTCATTACCTCTAGAGCTTTGCTGCGGACCAGCTCAAGAGAGTCTTCTCTAGAAAACGCCAACGTTTTATCTTCCAGCAAATTGAGGGCTCTTAACAGTTTGTATGTGGCCCAAGACGATATGAAATGCTGTCCAAACACCATATAGTATGGGGACGTCCCTAAGCTCGAGTGAACAGCTGATCTCAGGGCGCAGCAAATACTACTTAGCTGCTCATCCCAATCCTTCTGATCACTCCGCACGTAGGATCGAATGGCGGCTATCACGTAGCGATTTACCCGCTCCGAGGCATTTGACTGAGGAGAGTAAACCGGCGTCAAAGTGTGAGATACCTTGTACTCTCTTAGGAATTTTTGAAATGCTTCAGACTTAAACTGCGATCCATTATCTGACATAATCGTCTCGGGAACGCCAAAAACATGAAAAAGTTCCTGCTGCATGTACTTCACAACTACCTCTGCGGACAATCTCTTTACTGCCTTTAAGAAAACGAATTTGCTGTAATGATGCAACACAATAAAGATCCCAATATTGCCACTTCTGGATCTTGGGTAAGGTCCTAAGAAATCTATGTAAAGTTTTTGAAATGCCCTCGCTGACTCCGAAGCCTTTCCCATTGGAGGTCGCAACGCTTGGTTTGGGGCTTTATTCATTTTACAAGTATCACATGACCTTATATATTCTTTTACATCTTTTACCAAGCCTGGCCAATAATAGTATCGCCTAAGCCTTTCCAATGTTTTGTGAACGCTTCCATGCGACGCTAACGGGTCATCATGCGGCTTTTTTAGTTGCCACAGGCACCAAACCCGAGGGAACCCATAACTTCCAACAAAAATTATCGCGGATCGGCTCCCCAGATGTATGTTCAGTTCTCCGGAACACAAAACCATTGGCTGATTTTAAATCAGGGAGACTGCTGGCATTAGCTTTAACCTTTTCGATCAGCTCTTTGTAGTCCGGATCTTTGAACTGGGAAGGTTCTAAATCTACAAGCAACCCGTGGCTGGCCTCTAATGCAGCGACTTATTCTTCGTTGACCCTCGATAAGGCATCAGGAACAACATTGAGCTTGCCACTGCGATGCTCTATTTTAAAATTAAAACTTTGAAGTTTCAATGCCCACCTTGCGAGTCTATAATGCAAATCTGTCTGTGTCATCAACCATTTAAGCGAGGCGTGATCGGTAATCACCGTGTATTCGTGGCCCTCAACATAGGCACGAAACCTCTTGATGCAAATAATATACGCTAAACACTCTTGTTCCGTGACCGAATAGTTTCTTTGAGCCTTATTGAGCTTCTTCGATACAAAGGCAATTGGACACTCTTCGCCACTCTCAGATTTTTGAACTAAGACACCCCCTACTCCGGTGTTGCTAGCATCACAGTGGATATAAAAGGGCTTGCTAAAATCTGGACTACGCAGAACGGGTGCAGAGCAAAGCATTTCTTTTAACTTATTAAATGCTCGCTCACCCTCAACGCTCATCACAAACTTTTGTCTAGGTTTTAGTAGATCGGTTAAGGGAGCTGACACTGCAGCAAAGTTACTTATAAATTTTCGGTACCAACCGACCATGCCAAGGAATCTCCTCAAAGCTTTCAAAGTCTTTGGCACTGGAAAATTCGTCATGGCCGAAATTTTATCAGGGTCTGTACGCACTACGCCTTCCCCTACTATATGTCCTAAATATTTGACACTTTTCATGCAAAAATTGCTCTTTTCTACGTTCAATGTCAAACCTGCTGCTCGAATGCAACTTGCCACCGAACTCAAAACCTTCAGGTGACTATTGAAACTATCTGAGACGATAAGCAAATCGTCTAAATAAAGAAAGACCTCGTTCCTAAGTTCAGCCGGTATTACCTTATCCATCAGCCTAGTCATCGTTTGCGAAGCATTCGTGAGCCAAAATGGCATCACTTTATACTGATATAACGGTTTACCAGGTATGGTGAATGCCGTTTTGTCGCGTGACTGAGGCTCTAAAGGGATTTGCCAATAGGCGTCTTTAAGGTCGAGGCTAGAAATCATGTTCGCCTTGGGTAGCCGACTTAGAATTCCGTCTATTTGCGGCAAAGGATATGCATCCTTTCTAGTTACTGCATTGACTTTTCGGCTATCCAGACAAAGACGCACCTTTCCTGGCTTCTGCACCAGCACGACCGGTGAAGACCAAGGACTATCGGACTCCTCAATTACCCCAAGTTTGAGCATACGGTCTACCTCTTCATATAACAATTTCTCGACCGCCGGTGAAACAGGAAAATGTCTCTGCTTTACGGGTTTCGCCTCTCCCACATCAATAGAATGCGACAAAAGACTTGTTTTCCCTAGACCAGAGGCCGCGAAGCAAGGGAACTTGTCAATCACGGCTTGCAACTGGATTCTTTGACCATCAGTTAG